TTTCAAATAGTGTTACAACTCATTAATGGATCTTGAAATTGATTTATGTCACAAAAGACAAAAAAGAGAAACAAAACTGTTGGTGAATTATCCTTTATAATAGCTATACACAAATTTATTTTCCATTTTGTGCACATTCATATATCTTTAAGGAGACAGGAGAGAATATATAAAAGCATTTTTTGGGCTGGGGTGGCAGGTAGCTCAATGTGTAAAGTACACACTCTGCAAATATAAGTAACTGAATCAGGATCCCAAGCATCTGTGTAGAAGCTGAACGCAGCAGCGTGCATCTGTAGCTGTGCTGCTCAGAGGTGGAAACAGGTGGGCCCTGGAGCCTCACTGGTCAGCCAATCTAGCCAGAGTGGGGAGCTCCAATTCAGTGAGACTCTGATAGAGGGCGAGTCTCCACGCCCGCCTCTGGGCTCCACCCACAGAAACGCAGATGTGTGCACATTTGCACACACGAGCACATACATAAATGTGTCTTTAATTGTGCACTTGCTGCATATGTGTGCGTGATGTATGTGTGTGGGTGTGTGCATACCACAGTGTACGTGTGGATATCAGAAGACAGCTTTGTGGAGTCAGTTCTTTCCTTCCACTTTTACGTGGGTTCTGGGGACCAAAGTCAGGCACTAGGCTGGTGCCGCAAGCGCCTTTAGGAACTGAGCCATCCTGTTGGCCCCATAACAGTTTTTATTGTGGTTTAGGATCAAGAAAGTCTGAAGACTGAGGTACCAGGGGACACAGGTGCTGTGCGTCCTCATCGTATCTACTACAACACCCCTTATTTTACTAGCACAGCCTTCTGTATTTTTACTTTGCATGTCTACGTGTACCACTGTGCATGCGTGTGCACATGTAGAAACCCTAAGACAGCCTGCATGAGCCAGTTCTCTGCTTCCTTTAGATGGGTTCCAGGCATTGAACTGAGGTTCAGGCTGAGCCATCCTGCTAGTGCTTCCTGTATTCTTAGTCTGTTGATAGCTTTCATTTGGAATGAGCATTGAATGCTGTACCCACTGAAATGGCTACAAGTCTGTCTCTTCTCATGTGCCACACCCATGGATTTTTCACAATGCATCATCTTTGTATTCTTTAACACTGTTTTCCTGGGGCTCTCTTGTTACTTACAACCCATCTCATATAGCACTTGTGATTTCTAGCAGGTTCTGTATGTGTCAAAGTTGCTACTGCATTACTAATGCGCTCGTATGAACAAAAGGCCTGTATTCTGTGGTCCGTTAATAAATTCACAAGAGGAAGGCAGTAATACTTCCCTTCTGGTAGCCCTACAGCAGCCAGGGTCTGAGTTGATGTCCATGGCTCCTGTTTCTACTGAGGGCTATGCAGATGTCTGGGGTTTGGAGAGTCAGCTGAGGGCATGTTGGTGTCTGAGAGCCATGTTGCTGCTGGGGCTATACTGAGCTGGGTGACCTGAGCTGCCACAGGGACCCAAGCTGCTGCCAAGGGCCATGTCTGGGTCCATGGTCCTGCTGTAACTGGGGTCTGTGTTGATGTCTGTGGTCCATGTTACCACAGGGGGCCCTATGTTACACAGGGGTTCCTATGTAGCCATGTGTGATGAAAAATCTGAGGACCATGCTGAGCCGGCCCCGCCCTTCATGGCCCTGGGAAAGCTGGCCATGATCCTCATTGGATACTGCAAAAGAGACCTGTCCCTGACCCCCCCAAGGAGAGCTGGCCCTCCCCTCTGCTCCTGGGAAAGATGGTCCCACCCCTCACCACAGGCATGGAAGAAATGGCCCCAATGGCTCAGGCTTAGGTGATCTTGCTCTGCCCTTTGCCTGAGGAAGGGTGGCCCCAGAGGCCTGGAATGACCCACTCAGTTATCACCCAAGCCTACATCTAGGGTTTTGTGTTTTCCCACCCTAACATCTACCCCATTTATGACCTGCTGGAGCACTTGACGGGACTGGTCCTATGGATGCCATCAGGATCGCCATGACTCAGGGAGGCCACAGGATGTCTGGGAGGAGTTCCGGTGAGGATCCAGTGATGTGGTGCACCAGAAACCAGAGGCCTTGAACCAGCCCAATGAGTTACTGCAGTGAACATTGTGAGTAAGCTGACTGGACAAAAGTGTGTGCTGTGTGACACACTGAGGCTCCCGGTGTCACTACGATGAAGTGTTTGGAGAGGTGGAGAAAGGCGGAGGAGCCAAGAGGTTTGTTTTTGTTTTGTTTGTTTTTGTGTTGATTTTTTAATTTTCCTTTTTTGGGGGGATGCCGCAAGGGTGAAGGGTGAATATGGGGGTGTGTAGGGGATGAGTAGACTTGGGATAAATGATGTGAAATTCCCAAAGGATTAATAAAGAAACTGTTATAATAAAGAAAGGAATAAAAGAAGAAAGAAAAAGAAAGAAAGGAAGGAATAAAGAAAGGAAATTTAAAAATCCCTTCATCTTTGTTACCTTTGCAACTTAAGGACCAATGATAAAATAGCATATGAAGAAGTGCTACTGAAAAGTGGGATTTCAATTCCAACCTTGAGTGACAGTTACTCAACACTTATGTGCAAAGATTATAAACTATATAGTGAAAGTATCTTCATTGGTGACAGCATTGACAGTGCCTGTTGGGGCCAAAGTCACTTCAACAATGCTCCAGAAACCATTCTTCTTGCATTTTGTTAATGTCATCTTGAGAGGTGAAGAAAACCTCCCTTGCTTCAGAGCGGGTAAGCTCTGGCGCTTCAGGGGCCATGGTTTAAATGAAAACTCAGAAAGCGAAGTGCAGCGTTCTCTGTGGACCACACAGTGCGGCAACCGCACGAGCCATTAGATCTGTGGGCCTGAAACCTGAAGTTTTCCTATGTGCTCTTCATTTGGCTTGTCACCTGTGAGGGAAAAATCCCTTACTTTTGATGGTTCCCCCCAAATTCATGGCATCTTTTTATTGTTACATATGTGTAACACACACACACACACACACACACACACACACACACACAGGGGTCTGCATCCAAAGCGCACGATGTCTTCAGCAACCTTCCACTTCTGGGGGTGGGGACACCAAAGGGTAACAGTAACAGCCCATGATGTTTTAGGAGATGTCTTGGACAGCCTTGACAAACTCAGAAGAGGGCTTGTCAGCCTAATGTTAGGGTTTTTTGTTAGTCTATGGTTCTTGGTGGGAGCACTGTCTGATCAGATGGAAAAATTTTATTTAAACTATTTGTGTTTATTTATACACTGAGTTCCATGTATTATAGGTATTTTTAGGTAGATAGTTAATAGTATGATTCCTTATGACCTTTTCAGATACCCTTACTGTTATTTTAAAGATGCTTTTAGTGGACTATCTATACAAAGAAGACATGTTAGCTACCAAGGAAGATTTCTGGTACTTGCATCAGTGCATACGTATATACACGTGCACATTCTGTTCCATCAATATGTATTCACAGCTATCATAGGGAATAAAATCCATCTTTGAAGGCAGTGGAAATAATTATTAAACTATGCTAGAGGACTATCTAGGGAGAAGAACAAAATATATCCAACAAGAGCAGCCAACAGCCAGTCCAGCCTTATTACACAACACATAATTCAAACTGAGGTTTGTCCTACCTTCTAGTTGGGAAAAAACAAACACCATGTCAGAAGGACAGGACCTTCACTTACTCAGTCGGACGCCACAGGAACGTCAGTGGCAACAGAGAGCAGGAAAACATACGTGGGAAGTGAAGCCATGGCACTGCTTTGGGGGCTGGATGATGGATACAATTTCCAACTTCTAATATGAAATTTTCTGTAATGGGTTATATTATTCTTATAAAGAGAGATTAAACCAATCAAAATTATATATATAAATTTACTGCTTTATTTTAAACACTTTATTTGACAAGAACCAAGTGTTTCTGAAAGCTTTTTTTCCTTTCCTAAGGAGAGCCGACCTCCATTTTCTAAAGAAGAGAGAAGTGGGGCTCCACAGTTTGGGGGTGTGGGGCACACTTTGCTGAGATTTGCAGACACGATGCTTCCATAACCTCCCTGACAGCCTAGACACAGTGTCATATATCAGGGCCTTTGCTGCATCATGGCCAATGCCAGTGTTCTCTACAGTGGTAGAAATGGCTCCCTCATCAGCAAGGGCGTAAAGGAAAACAACGAAGGAGCAGGTGGGTATAGTGTTAGCGGAAACCAAGACAACATGGAGGAGGCCACAGGATGCAGGTCTCCATGATTTCCAGAAGCATCCACAGGGCACCTTCCCTGCACGTTTATGTGCTTTCTCTTCCCAGAAGATGAGCATAAACAGACTTTCTAAACACAGCAGTTTCCCGGGTTGGGAAAGTGATCAACTGACCACACACAGACTCTCGGCATATACGCCTCTCTGAGAGTGTTCAAGTTTTGCGAGAAACAAATACTAAGTGTGATTTGGATTTATTTGGAAATCAGTGGAAGCACTTAATGAAAACTCAACTTTTTCTTTAAAAGTCGCCACGCCTTTTGAGTAAACAAGTAGCGGCTCCGTAGGGCAGAGTTCAGACCCCTCATTGCACACAAAGACAGCAAACACTCTTGGTTAAGTCACAGGTAAAGAGTGTCAGCACATCGCTTGCTGACTTCCCCGGCTTGTGGACTTTCATTATGGACTGCACATGATTCGAAAGTTATTGCTGACCCTAGAATCTCACAAGGGAAAATTTCCCAAGTGTTTCCAAATGGGAACTGGAAACATTGCACAACACAAGTGTCAAAGGGAGCTACCAAGTCACAGCCAGTCCTCTGGTGGCAGTGAACTGCTCTGTTGATTCTGGCTTTCACTAGCGAATGATCTCATACTAAAGGCACAAGCTGCGCCGCTGTCTGTCAATCAGTGGTGGGAAGCAGCTGAAGACTCATTTGGTCAACTGATGGAAAGCTGGGGCCTCTGGACATGTCACCCTGCGCCAGAAGATTCCTGGTGGAGAGCAGCAAGTGACAGGGACAGACATCAAGTTTACTAGGAGGATGACATCTTGGGGGGAGTTCTGGCTAACCCTGGTAAATCTGCGAGCAGTTTCACGCATCTGCTCTTAGACCCAAGGATGGGAAGCAGCATGGGATAGAGTGAGTCACCTAGACAGTAAACTGGAGCTGTGTGACCAGAGGCATGGTGCTGAGTGAGCTCAGCCTCAAATCTGAACAGTTAGCAATGATTCTCTCGGTGTGCCAAGGTTCTCCCTTTTAGAATCTCTCCTCCAGCGTCCTCTGTGTCTGGAAGGTGTCAGTGGGCTGAGGATCTCACTGGTGTTTAAGCCGACCCCGAGGCACTCGTGATGATGAGGCTTTGCTTCTGGGCTGGAATGGGGCCCTTCACTTGATCATCTGGGTCTCCTCGTCCACATCATAGAACTCTTCCTCCTCCTCGCTCTCACTCCCCAGGGGGCTGGCCTTGTCCAGGGCCTGAAATGGCAAAGCAGATCTTGGAGAGGCAGTAAAATGATGTCATGACATGCCTAAATGAGAATTACCACCCGTATGCTCACATGCCAGCTTTGTTGTCGTTATTTGAGGACAGGATCTCACCTAAACGAAGTTAGCCTTCAGTTTGCTCTGTAGCTGAGATCAAATTCTCATCCTTCTGCCTCTCCCTCCCAAGGGCTGGGTTTACACGTCTGTCTGTACCACCACTCCCAGTTTCAGGGGTCAAACCCCAGAGCACCTTCTGCATTTAGCACAAAAACCCTTCCCGCTGAACTACAAACCAGCCCCGACAAACGTATCTTGATGACAGCTGTTTTCCTAAGGAATTATACCTAGAGTATTCTAAGAAAGCTAACAAATCCACTACCATCTTTATTTATTAAAACATCTGCTGTTCAGTTCACCTTTGATTTTTAGTCTATTTTCAATCTGAACTTTATGTTTTGTTTTTCCTTTTTCAGAAACTCTTTTTGCCCAAGTGGAAGATCTGGATGGTTACAGCAGTATCTCTCTACCTGTGGAGGGTCCAAGGTCTGCAGAGACAAGGCTTCCTCCCCTAACCTCCTATAGGAGTACATCTGAAGGTCAGAAAACGTCTCCAGCAAAGGGCTGTTCAGAGTCTCTGGCAATAGCAGGCTCAGGAGGCCTGAGGTCAGGCCGGTGGCTCCAAACACGATGAAGGGCAGAGACCACTGCACGTACTTCTGTGGGCGCAGGGAGTGGAACAAAAACAAAGAAACCTATCAGTCTCTCAGCAGGTGACATCAGCAGTCTTGTGACGGAGGACTGCCATGCTCACTGCCTGGTCAGCACCTTCCTGCTAGATGACACCATGCACCGTGGTTTTGGTTTTTTGGGCTCTAAGACAATTATCCCCAGGAGTCACCGAATGTCTCCTTGGGCACGCAGAGATGGATCAGAGTGAGCCAAAGGGCGGCATGAGAATATGGACTAGAAGCCTTGGAGCAGACACCTCAGGCACAGCCATGGCTCTCTGTGAGCTTGAGAGGCCCTCACAGGCAGAGTTCACAGGAACTCGAGTCCACTTCCACCTGAAGAAGTCTGCTCCCGCCGCAGTGAACTCCGTGTTCTCTTCCTATGAAGACGGCCCTGAACTATTTGCTGATAATGAACTTGGAAGTGGTCAAGTGGGTTGTAACATTACCACTGACCGGCCCAAGATTAAAGGGGCACAAACTGAAGAAAAAGTCCTATGGTACACAGAGTTTTAAACTACTTGAGTTAAATATGGTGCTACCAGCAATTGCTTCAGAGATTCAAAAGGTATTCTTAGGGCAAGTCAACGTTTTCTTTCAAGGCACAGGCTCCCAACAATTTTCTTGAGGATCTTGAGAAGAAATAAACTAAAAGGTAGAGTTTAGTTTATTTCTTCTCAAGATCCTCTAGAAAATCCCTCAAAGGTGGTGTCAAAGCCATAGTATAAGTAATATTTTAATGGTATTTTATTATGTAATAACATATATTTTTAAAATATTTCTGGATTTTTAATGTGTATGTGGGTATGCGAGCAGATGGGCTGGTGTCTGTGGCAGTGTTGGATGCCCTGAAGTTATAGGAGGTTGGGAACTACCTGACAAGGCTGCAGAGATCAAACCAGGGTTCTCGCCAACAGCGGACTGGCGTTAAACCATTGAGTCATTTCTCCAGTCTCTTGTATAAATGGTTTAAGATTCAGAGTCTTTGTTAGTATAAGTGAGAAAATGGTCTGAATCCTTAGTTATTGCCGTGGCAGGAAAACCTGAACTGCAGCCCCAAGGACATTTAATAGCAAAGGGACATTCTGACCCTCAGAAGACACAATACTGGGAGGCAATGGTAGTGTTCTTGGTTACCACGTGTCTGAGTCCTTCCTGAGACAGCTCAAGGGCCCGTGATTGGTCTCATGACCGTTTATCAGTTAAGACATTTATTGTTTCAGGGCTAAGATAGTCTGTTACTTTTTTTTAAAGCCTTTATCATGAAAGCTGGGTTCTATAATAGCTGGTCAGGCTTCACAAACAGGGCTTAGATTATCTGTAGGACCCTTTCCCAGCTCCGCTTCACAAAACAGAACCCTGTAGGACCCTTTCCCAGCTCCGCTTCACAAAACAGAATCCTGTAGGACCCTTTCCCAGCTCCGCTTCACAAAACAGAACCCTGTAGGACCCTTTCCCAGCTCCGCTTCACAAAACAGAACCCTGTAGGACCCTTTCCCAGCTCCACTTCACAAAACAGAATCCTGTAGGACCCTTTCCCAGCTCCACTTCACAAAACAGAACCCTGTAGGACCCTTTCCCAGCTCCACTTCACAAAACAGAATCCTGTAGGACCCTTTCCCAGCTCCACTTCACAAAACAGAACCCTGTAGGACCCTTTCCCAGCTCCGCTGCTCCTGTCTATCCTCTACCTAGCAAAACCAAGAAGAGACGGGCAGGGGCCCCAGGGCTTTCACAGAACCTGAGCATTTTAAGGCTGTAAGGATTTTAAAATGGTCACTGTTTCTCCTGATCCCCAAATGCCAAAGAAGACAGGGGCACACATGCTGCTAGGGGTGTCTCTCCTTCAGTTTTCTTTCCCAGTGGTGAGCATATATTCAATCCGCTTCTAAGGCACGTCTCATCTTTAGAGCGGATGACAACGCCTAGCTCTTGCAGCAGCTCTGTCGGTTACAAGCAGTAACATCTGTGGAGTATTTCACAGAGGGCCCAGCATACCACAGAACGTCATAAGTATTGATTAACTAGTTCTGAATGTCTACGGGAAGGGGATTGCTGGTATCATTAGACCCTAAAGCGAGTCCAGAGGAACAAAAAGCCAGACCCATGGGGGGAAACGCCCCAATCCATCTGTCTGACAGAATACTGGGCTCTTCATGGGAAAGGCACAAGATTCATGTTTGTGCAGCTGCTCTTGGTTGAACCTGTTCATTACCTCTTTCTACACAAAAGCACACATGAGTTCCAAAGAAGAGAACCAGGAAGAACAGAACCAGGAGGTACAAACCAACCAGTGAGGGTATGAAGGGGGCAATGATCCCGCCCACTCGGGAGAACATGGAACACGCTCCAAGGCCAACATTCCTGGAAGACATAAGAAAAAATAACAAATTAACTAATCAAATAAAATCTTTAAGTATCAGGGGGATAGTTTAAATATCCTGGATTGGAAGAATACAATGAGCTCAAAATCATAAAGAATTCCTAAGTAGAGGGTACAGTGCCTCCTACTGGACCTTTCTCTGAGGCCAAAGAGTTGTGGGGTCACCACCACGATGAGCTCACTAGACACACGAGGCCTCTCAGGCCTTGAAATGTGACTCATGAGGATAAGGAAATGAAGTTTTGTTTAAAAAACAAGTATTGCTATGGTGACCCTGGCTGGTCTTGAACTGTGGCAATCCTTTTGTCTCTGCCCCCAACTTTTGGAATTCAAGATATGAGCCACCATATTCAGCAGAAACTGATTTATTTTTAAAAGATTTATATTTACTTTTAAGTGTATGAATGTTTTGACTGCATGTATGCACTCCACGTGCACGCATGGTACCCCTGGCAGGTGGAATAAAGTGTTGGATCCCCTGAAACTAGACTTACAGACAGTGGTGAGCCACCATGTGGGGGTGATGGGGATTGAACCTGGGTCCTCTGCAAGAGCAGCCAGGGCTCTTAACCACAGAGCTACTTCTGATTTCTGCAATTTTCATGAACTGAAATAGTCACAAGGATAGTAACAGCCATATTAGACAGAACATGACATGGAATGAGCACCTGAGCATGTCTTATGGATAAAGACGGACTTAGTTCTATCAGATACTACGGCCAGAGGACCAGGGCTCCGTGATCCAAACACTCAGCCCATTTGTTAAAAACCAGCTAACTATTGGAAGCCAGGTGTGTAAACAGGAAATGCTGTGTGCACACTGCCAGGTAACAGGAAATGCTGTGTGCACACTGCCAGGTAACAGGAAATGCTGTGTGCACACTGCCAGGTAACAGGAAATGCTGTGTGCACACTGTCAGGTAACAGGAAACGATGTGTGCACACTGCCAGGTAACAGGAAATGCTGTGTGCACACTGTCAGGTAACAGAAAACGATGTGTGCACACTGTCAGGTAACAGGAAATGCTGTGTGCACACTGTCAGGTAACAGGAAACGCTGTGTGCACACTGTCAGGTAACAGGAAACGCTGTGTGCACACTGCCAGGTAACAGGAAATGATGTGTGCACACTGCCAGGTAACAGGAAATGATGTGTGCACACTGTCAGGTAACAGGAAATGCTGTGTGCACACTGCCAGGTAACGGGAAATGATGTGTGCACACTGTCAGGTAACCCAGAGCAGCACGGACAGTTTAGGCGGAAAGGGTAGAGAGGGAGCAGAGAGAAGGGAACTGTTTCCAGCTAGGGTGGCCATCCACTTCTGTCTCAGCCCCACTGCCAGCATGAAATGTGCGCCTGTGAGGACCGCGTGGTACCCAAGTTCCACATCAGGCTGCAGAAACAAGCAGGGTCAAGCAGACAACTGCAGACCCAGCTGTTTCTGGCAAGAGACCTCAAGTCAACAGGTGGAAAGCACCCCTAGGGCTCTTGCATGAGGAAACAGAAGGGGCTCATTCAAATGATCCCTCAGGAGATTAGCACAGGACTGGCAGAGGGAGAACCAGCCCAGGGCCCAGGCAGCAGAGCTGAGGCTACAGCCTCATCCTGAATCTGGGACATTAGGATAGAAGATGTTCTTTCTTACATAAGCACGTGCTACCCATCTAAAACAACTGACCCTCTGAAACTGTAAGCAAGCCCCTCAGTAAATGCGTTCTTTTCTAAGAGTCGCCTTGGCCACGGTGTCTCTCACCGTGATAGAACAGTGACTAGACAATGGGTGATTAAATATTTTCATGACTGACAGATGCCCATGTGAAGGTAAGGAAGGCCATCTCTGCCCTCAGAAGCACAGTTAACAAAGCCCAGATGCCATGAATGGGATGCAGCAACACGAGCCCCATACCTGATGACAGTGGGGTACAGCTCAGAGGTGTAGATGTAAACAATGTTGAAGGCGGCACTGATCGTCAGCTTCCCTAGCAAGGACAAGGAGTGGCTGTTGATCACGGCGAACACACCTGTGTCTGAGGTGGACAGATAACGCTTGTGAAGACGACAGCAAGAACAGGCCTTTCAAATGACACATTTTACTGTGAAGGAGCACGAAACATTCAGATTCGTCTCCATAAGCCTACCACAAGGTTTTACCCAGCACACACACTCAGATACATGCATGCATGCGGGTGTGCACACGCACACACAGGCACTCACGCACACACACAGTGCTACCCCTGTGATCTGACACACTGTCTGTGATTCAGGAGCACGTGAGTTTCATTTATTCATGAGGAGCCCCGAATACGTCTGTGCTGACAGGAAGTAAGCATACTTGCCACAGGTGCTATTGCCCCTGACCTCTTACTCAGGAAGGGAAGACTGAGCGCCTTTGTCCGCAGTTCTTCTACCTGGATATTTGTGTTTGCTGGCTTTACTTCATTGCAACAACAGCTAAAGTGGTCAGCTTGAGAGGGAAGGTTTATTTGGGTTCAAGGTTTTAGGGGTTTCTCCATGGTTGGTTGGCCTTGTTGCTTTAACCCTGAGGTGAGGCGAAAGCATGACGGTGGAAATGTACGATGGGACTTGTTCACCTCGTGGTGGCCAGGAAGCAAGAGAGGAAAGGAAGCGGGGGTCTCAAGATCCCCTTCAAGGGTATGTTTCCCAGAGGCCTCACTTCCTCCCAATGGTGAGGACCTCCCGAGGGAACTCTGTACGTGGAGATCAAACACAGGTCTTGTGGGTTTTGTGGGATATTCAAAATCTAAAATATACAAGTATTCCATTGAAGTGAGCAATATCTCATTAAAGTTTTGAGAGATATAACAGTATACTGTAAAGGAAAAAAAGATGAAAGAAATTTGGAAAAACTTCTAATTGTCTTTTCTCCTCAATTTCTTGCTTGGGTTATTAACTGGTAATTAGATTTGAATTCCTTAATCTATTTATATAAAATGGAAAAATAATTCAGTTTCATTTCCTTACTAAAATATTAGTTTCCTGATTCTTTCCTTTATTAACTGGATTCTATAGTTGTTACCTGTCTAACATATCGAATGTCTCCCTTTCAAAAATCCATGCAACTGTGCCTTCAAAATGCAGTTTTCTCCTTGTGAGAAGAAAGCAATGCTCATACCCTTTGTGCCTCCTCCCGTCACTTGCCCCTGCACTTCCTCCCTAGCTGCAGCCTCTGGCCTGCCACCATCCTCTCCTCAGCGCACTGTCCTGATTACCAATGCAATCGCCTCTCTCTTCTTGACATTCCCGCCAGATACAAGAGCTTGTCCCTTCCTTGTGACTCCGTGGTTCCTATGAGCCCCTCTTCCCTTACTATCTCAATGAGACAGCCACTCCTCCTGCACCTGCTGACCAGCACGCCTCAGGCACTCTTCTTGTTACTCACTTTCCATCTTTTTGTTTGCCAAAAAGATATCTCACAGTATTTCATGCCATCTTGGCATCTTATTTATACCGGTTGGACTCACAGAATCCCCTGTAGAATAGGCCACACGGTTGATTGCTAGGTGTCTGTTGAGCTAAAAGGCACTGGGACTCCAACTGGCGTGAATGTTGTGGGAATAGTTTGTGTCTGTGCTGCCTCAGTGGCCAGTGAGGAGGGCATATCACATCCTCATCCATAACCATGCTCCTCTCCTGCTTCATTGTGAGACCAAGCTTCATCTACTTTAGCATGGCGCCACCAGACCACGACCAGACCAGGCATCTTAACCATGGGGGCTGCATTCAATGCTGCCAAGATATTTGGGAATGTTCTTTGCTAGTGTAAGCGGTATATATTTAAGCTACAAGGTCTTTCTAGAAAGATAAGCAATTGCTCCAAGGTATGTGTCTGGGATTCTGAGGTCACCAGATCTCACTTCTGGTAACAATTTATGAGATTATATACTTCATGTAAACCAATAATGAGGATATATATGAGCCTCATCACTATTTTCTAGAAAACTGAGTCTGGAAAAGGTACGGAGTAACACTGACCAAAACAAACATGTCTAATTGTTTGTGTAAACTGAAGTTCCCCCCAAACAAACAAGACACCCAGGTAGACTCTACACGTTAGGAGCAATGGGTTAGAATAGTGCAGGTGCGCAGTCCGATCATCAGGCTTCCTTCAGAGCCTCACTCGTCACGGATCCCCACCCCTGTGTTTGATGCAACACCTCCCGACTGTAAAGAAAAGTCTCTGGAATGTATTCTAGTGGGCCAATGTCTCCTACCCACCCCAAGGACAAGAATGCCACCAGAGAACATGTGAAACCTGTAACAGAACTGCTGTTGTTTTAATCGCTCTGCTATAACCCGTCTGTCTGCGGTCCCCACAAATGCAAACATTAGATGTATTTATTACTTCTGTTATTCTGTGACTAGGAAAAGCCTATGCAGCTGCTTCCTTAACGGAACGTGTTATCCTGAGCACCCTGCATCTATATAGGTTCCTGGACCACGGTCATTTTTATTTGACTCAAGAATAAAAATATCTTTTATTCCTTTTGACGTGTACTACCTTTTAACTGCAAATGGCTTTTGGTAGGCATGGATTTCCCTCACGCCCTGCCCCAGGCACAGTGGCATCTTTCAAAACCACATGGAGGCACCCTACATCTTTACTAACAGGACTGAAGATTGCCATCTGGACATTTAAATTCACACAGAGGACACAGAGACTGTCATCTAACCCCCACAGGGTCCAAAGCTGCAAGAGGATTCCCACGTGAGGTGGAAGACACCTCCAGCCATAGCTCATCTGGGGAGGCTGGCTCTGGCCACAGGCCAAAGCAACCCCATCTGCTGCTTGAACCTTCTCTCCTCTGCTCCTGCCAACACACCTGCAGTCACCTCTTGCGGGGACTCCACCTCTCCCCCAAGACAGCTTATGTCAACAGCAGACAGCTTTCTTTGTTAGGATTCCTGCCCGTGCAGCTGCTGCTCTGCTGGCTTTGTTCCGGAAGGCTCTGCAGCCACTGAGCCAGTCTCGTGCCTTCCTGACCTACATTGCCAGTCATTACCGATGAGTGGTCAAAGTATGTGTGGGGAAAAAAGCAAGTGATTTAAAAGGAAAATCAAAATGAAATTATGATTTAAAAAAAAGTGGATTTGCAAAACACATGTATCTTTAATGTACCAAACTTTTCAGAAGTCCTTTTGTGGCCATCGGAATAAATGGCTCTTTTGTCCATTTATTACTGGGTTGTAAGACCCATTCTCTATTTTTGATTCAATCTTTCATCGTGTGTATATTTTATGAACATTTTCTTCTACTCTGTGCCCTGTGTTTTTTCTTTAAGGGTGTTCTCAGCAACTCACACTCCCTTGGTTGCCCAGGTTGGCCCTGAACTCCTGGTTCAAGCAACAGTCTGTAGGTTCCTAATACAAAACCTCAGCTCAGTTCTCAGTCATTCTCTTCTTTCACCAGATGGTGGTAAGCAAAGTTGTTTTGTTTTTCTGTGTTGTAAGACAGGCGTGGTTACAGGTAGCCCAGGCTGTCCTTAAACTTGCTGTGTGGTCAAGGCTGACCTTGACTCCTGGTGACATCTCCTCCTGACTACTGGGTTGCAGGTATCTCTGCTTGCAAACTTTTGGCTGTTCATGTTTAGAAACAGTAAGAAGTTATATGTCCTGCAGTTTAGCACAACAGGCAGACACAGCTCCTCTGCTTTAGCTTTGCCTCTCCCTTTTCAGGTACTGAACACTGAACCTGGGGTCTCAAGAATGTATTCTGCTACAAAGTCACTCAGCAGACCCATTTGTTGTTTGATTACATTTATTTAGTGTGTGTGTGTGTGTGTGTGTGTGTGTGTGTGTGTGTGTACACAAGTGTCTGGGTATGTGTGGAGGCTGGAGGACAACTGTTGGGAGTTGGTTCTCTCCTTCTACAATGTGGGTGGCGGGGACTGAACTTGGGGTTACCAGGCTCTGTAGCAAGTGTCATTGTCTTGCAGAGCCATCTTGTTAGCCCCATTTTGCTTCTTAAAACAACAACAACAACATAATTCTGTCACCAGTCTCAGCTTTTCTAAAATTCCACCTGGACAAACTAACAGTTTGTGGACTTTGTGTCTGACTTCTTTCACTTGGCATGATGAGAGGCATTCATGTTGTGTAGGTCACAGGTCATGTCTTCTTGTTGAGGAATGTCCAATGTGGGTGGATAATCTGGTCATCAACTGGTGGGCATCTGGGTTCCTTCCAGTTTGGGTCTACTGTCAGTCACACCAGGAGTTCTTGCAGCAGAGCCTTTGCCTTCCCTGCTTCACTGCAAACACGCAACGGCAGCACAGTCTGTCCCTCACCGCCCTCGCTGTGTGTGACCAGGTTTTCCATTTCTGGCTGTTCTGATGTGTGTATGGGTATCTCAGCACAGATTTGTCACTTTCCTAATGGCGGATGGGTTTAAGCCTCTCTTTCCATACTCATTTGCCATTCTAACGACTTTGTGGAGAAGTATCTCATTAAATATTCTGTCATTGTTATTATTATTATTATTGAGTTTTAAGATTCCTTTCCTTATTTTGAATTTGATCCTTAATTATGCATTATTTTACACATGTTTTCTTTTGGCCGGTGCATTACTTTTCATCTCTTTAAGGATGCTTTTCCTTTGTTTGAAGAGACCTGTCTCCCTATGTTGCCTTAGTCGGCCCTGACCTCCTCGGCCTCTAAATAGGTGTGACTGCAGGCACACACCGTTCTACCTGGCAGCAGAAAGTTTCTGTGGTTATTTGTTTATTTTATTTATGACAAGATTTCATGTACTCTAGGGCTAACCTTGAACTTACTATATAGCTGAACCTCTGGTCCTCCTGCTTCTAACTCCCAAGTGCTGGGATTACAGGTGTGCGCCTTGACTCCACACTTCGTTTTTATGTGGTGTTGGGTGTTGGGGATTAAACCCGGGGTTTTGTGTGTGCTGGGCAAGGACTCCAACAACTGAGCTACATCCTAGGTCCAATGAAATCTTTTTTATGTTTGTTTTTGAGACAGCGTCTCACCATGTAACCTTGGCTGCCCTCAA